CACACTCGTATGAAATGTTTATTCAGGGGGGCGAAGGGGGGAGTGTAGGCAGTCTAGGGGGTGGGGGGGGCAGTCACTTGACATGCGTGAAAAGCTGGAATGTTCGAGTTTACACTGTCTCGCTCGAGAGAGCCCAGGTGAGCAGACTGCCGCGCCGCCGCGTGGCCCCCCCCCAACTAAGTTAGCACGAAAATTCGAAAAAAAAATTAGCTAGTGTCTTCCTACTGATTTTAGTTAACATAGGAAAACTATCGAAGTCGGAACTGATTTTTTTCTTTGAATTGATTCACCTTTTATAGATCCGATCCCAATTCTCTAAAAAGTAGTTGAGTACAAGTTCATGTCCGAAACGATTTGATGCAACTGCCCAAAACGCTTGCGGTACATCCTGCAGACGGAACGTCTTGTGATCCAACGCCATGTCCAGAATGCTAGAAAGTTTAGTAATCGAAATTCTCAACTCCATATCAAAGAAATGAAAATAATTGCTTCTATGCCTGAAAATTACCTCATTGTTAGAAGCGCACTAGCACAATTAGCTGAGTGGAATGACTTCCCCAGTTAGTCCAAGGGGACCGAAATAAGCGCGAAAGTTGGGCCCGTTTGGATCTCGAACAGCGGTAGACGGCCTATAACGTAAACCTAGAAACGTCCACTGAAAGACTTGAATGTGTATTGGATAAGCTCATAGCCCATGAAGCACAATCGTGAGCTTGAGTGCCACCCGAAGTCGAAAATTGGCTAAGGCCTCCGCACGGTTGAAATTAGGAATCAAAGGCAAGCCCGGTATAAAACTGGTGATAAGAGCGCTTCGTAGTGATGACTGAGCTGCGGGACGGCCTGAAAGTGGAAAGGAAAGCTAGAGAATCTTTGGGATCGCTGAAATTAAGGCCTTAACCTTCAAAAAGGTCGGATGTGGAACGATGGCGAGGCAGGGCGGTCAAAGAAGACAAAACACGCGAGAGATCACGCCGTTCGAGAGAGCACGCCGATATCGAGGTGGGTGGGAAGCGTTGCAACGGGGGTCGATGGTTGCAGGCCCGTAAGGATTAGCGCCCTAACCGCGCAACTTTTGCGGCGAAGCTGGAGTGATCTAGGTAGGTAGGGACCTACAGAAGTTATACGCCTCTAGCATGCATTACTGACACTGCTGATTTCCGAATCTTGACTCAATGCGTGAATACATGCTAAATCGTCTCTGATACAGTATTTTGAAGCGTAAAATAGCTTCAGTTGTGGATGTCGGTCTGTGCAGGTAAACGCTCGTAGGATCGGTTCCTTTGCAAATTGATTGCTTTGCTTTTGTATCTAGAAGTGTTGCGGACAAAAGCAAAGCAACAAACTTGCAAAGGAACCGATCCTACGAGCTTTTACCTCCCTTCCTGGACCATCACCACTGAGGCTAAATTATCGCACTTCATAAATCGCCGTTGGAGAGCCTTTTTACAGAGTTCGGAATGCAGATTATCGAAAATCAGCGTAGTTCAGACGCATAGAGTGGTTATACATTCATATAACACGTCATGGCGAACCTGAAGAATTTATGTAAGACTGAGTGATCAGGTAGTACGACCTTCGCGTGTTCTCTCACAATCGGCTAATCTGGGCTTGGCTCAAGACTAGTAATCCCGAGGCAGAGCGTGCGGTTTGATGACATCTTTGAACGTGTCGTGGAAAGTATCGATTTAGAAGGCAACAACCCAGAACAGTGTGAGAACAATGTATTTGTGGGTAGGAATATGAGTAGTACGCTAGTAATAAAGTGATTGCAGTGTCGCCTCGAAAGGCGCAACAAGAGGTCTCAGCAAATAAAGGCAATGATGGTGTAAATGTAAGTCAATAATTGATCTGAGGGATAAGCGGCTAAACCGCGGCATACCTCCATTAAGTATGCACATTGGGATTACTATGGGCGAAAGCGGCTAGCTAATTCAAACGTACGCGGCGGGCTAGTGGAGCCCGTAAGGCAAGCACTAAGACACTCGTTCCGACGCGTACCTGGACATATTTTCAGGAAAGAAAAAGTTATTACGCTCGATTACTTCATCGGCGGTTTGCTTTACTTTTTTGCATTTTCAGCTAGTTGGACATCCACATTTTCATTATCGGCCCTGTTACCCCAACAAATGATCTGAAGATGTTGCTTTGAAGTAGTCTGAAATTGTGGGTGCCGAGTGACTGAAAGTGAAAACAGAAGCAAAGCAACCCGTCGATGGAACCCTTAGAAGAGGACTACCTCTTTTTCCTCTGAAATAAGGGAGGGGGCGTTACGGACGAGTTGTCTGAACTTTGTTGCTTCATGGCTCCTCTATCTCAGGCGCATCCGACAATAACCTACTTCGTGATCCACGCTGTGTGTCATGAGGTTTGGCGAGGTATCTCGTCCACTAGCTCACATTAGCCGTCATTAGCTCACTTTGTAAACCCTAGCGCCATTGTCGCGCACTTTCGAGCCGCGACAACGGCACAGCTGTGACACTAGCGGCCTACTCAATCCTATCCATGAATAGATTGTTCGACACAACCTTATCTGGGTTGTTGCTTTGAACAGCGCTCCCTAGCATACCACCAGCTCGCTGAGGGATCTAGTTCACCATGACGTTCAACGCCGAAATCAAAGCACACTTCCCTCCAGCCAATGTACCTAATCACTGCCTCTAACTGCATCTTAGCGCGCGCCAGGATTTTTTTTAAGAGTTCAGTCAAAGTCAAACTCGTTGAATTCAATAGAAATTCATTTTGTGGACATCTTACGCGTTGGTCGGTGCGAATAGTTACATTTTCACAACTTCATAAAATACCTTTTCAGAACAGTGACATTTCTATGGCAAGCAAGAGCTTCGAGAAGTCTTTGTTCTTCAATTTTAACAGTTTCCGCTTGATACAATTCCATTACCGGAAAATATGAAATTGTTAATAAAACAAAACAAGAAATCAATAATAGTTAGATTTCCGTTCACTTGGTTATACAACTTTGTGTTTCTTACTATTTATTAATTCATGTACCTTGTGGTAGGCCTTATCTCCGAGTTTCATAACACCATAACAGTAGGCGTTAGCTCTATGAGGAGGGGCAATTCTGCAAAAAAAGAACTATACGACATGTCAGAGCTCACGCCCGAAATAAATAACGATAAAACGGGGGTAGGAAAAGAAAGCTGGGAGTAGAAATGTCCCTGACGCATTCTCAGTAATGAGCGGAGCTTGATCAATGTATCCTGTTTCAGAAAAACGAAAAGCGTCGAGGTGCAGACCATACACCACAAGTGACGACGGCCTCCACAAAATGTAATGTTTTCTGCCAATGAAATGATTAGATAGTTGCAGTTGTATTCTATCAGTTGTCACTAATTACATCTATCAATTATATACAACACTACCACAATATACAGGGTGGGCAAAAATTACGGTAACAAAGTAAAACGGTAATAAAAAAGCAATGTGGTCGAGAAGTCCCAAATTAAAATTACAATCATGTTGGTGGAAGATTATCAAACAGAAAGCAATATTGCCCTTTGAAGTGACCGCTTTCTGCGTTGAGAAATAAACGAAGATTCCCTACTAAGTCACTTACCCTGTTGTGTAGGTCGGTGTGGTAAAGTATGTCCAAGGCTTTCAGGAGCGACTGCTCGAACAGTCGATGCTCCTATTATGCTTATAGCAATGCTTTGCCTTCGGCACACTCAATACAGAAATTGTGGTAGGACTAGCGTTGGGAGAGCTATGTTGCCGCTTCCTCAGTATGATGATTTCCACAATAGGGTTGCGTCGATTTTTGGGACACGCTCCAAACTTCTATACTACCGAGATGAAGTTCTGTGGAACAGTGTTTGATAGGATAAAAAGACTTACTTAACACAAAAACTTGCTCTTGAGCCAGTTCCACACTTTGGAAGGATTTCCTTTTCAAACATCTCCACATATTTAGCGATGCAGTCTTCAGCCTCCGCTTCACAATATGCTCCGAGTATGGCCATTTGCAAACTGCTGAAATCATCGCGAAGCTTTAGGCCGATGTCATAGTTTGCGAATCGAGCGATTCGCTAGCGAATCGCTCGATTCGCAAACTATGACATCGGCCTTAGGACATGACTCCTATCTAGTTTCGAGCGAATGCGAGCGGAAGAAAAAAAATACGAGATACTGGGCGGACGCAAAATTCAACAGTACGAACTCATGAACGCTCGCTTTTGAAGGCTGAGCAACCAACCACCATGTGGGTGGTGATCAAGGATGCCTAGAAACTCGTTTAACTTTTAAGCATCTCTTGAGTCAAATTTGATCAAAGAGGCCGTTTTGTTAACCAATATATGCACTCATCGTCACTACTACTTACCCTAGTTGTTGTTAACAATTTATCAAACGGTCGATGCCGTGTGCCCAAAAATCGGTAGTTTCGAGCTTGAAATGACAGTGAAGTCGATTATTAAAATCTTACCCGACTTGCACTTTTGTTTGCAAGATGACTACAAAGTAGATGGCAGTCGGAGGGAATTGGATCTATGTAGTAGCACTTCTCAATTGAGATTCAGAATATAGAGTTGGGCTGTTTTTGAAACATGGTCTCCGTGGGCGACGGACTTTTGGTGCGTTCGGGGTTGCACGCGGCGAATCGCGGCGGCTGGGCGGCGATCGGCGAGGCAGGTCTTCGCGGGCTCCTGTAGTGAAGAACGTGTGCAGATCGCGAATAGGAATCCGCAGGGTTCTGCTCTGAAAGAAAAGTTCCCACTCGCGGATATCGGTGAAATGCAGCGATGAAGTGTTATTCATTTCAACTCTATATCTTTGCTAATCGCGGCGCTTCCTTGGGGAGAATTTTCAAAACAGGGCAATGGAAGGTGACACTAGAATAAGCTCATGAGAGGGAAATACGCTCGGGAGAACACAAATTGCTCACATCTCACAAGAACTTTCTCCTCAGGCTCTGTTCAACCAAACACATTGATTGGTTGAATCTCTCCGCTCATGGAATTTATCCCCCCTTAACAACAAGCAATCTAGCGCTCTGATTGCTATAACAGCCTTTCGCTATTCTTTTCTTCTCTTCCTGTCGCTGCCTTTGAATATCCACGCGTTGGAATGTAATTCGAATCGCAGAACCTTGTGGATTCTATCCGCGATCTGCACACGTTCTGACGTGTTGGATTCCACCGCAGAAGCCCGCGAAGACTTGCCTCGTCCGGATCGCGCGCGCAGCCCGCCGCGCGATTCGCCGCGTGCAACCCCGGACGCACCAAAAGTCCCGCACCCGTCTCGGTTGTCGTGAAGCAAAAACGCTTTTTTCTTCGCCAGCACTCGCCGCTGATCGCATCAGACCTAGGCTGGTTTCAGTGCTGGTGCGAGGGCATCCCCAAGTTCCTGGTGGCTGCTCACGCGAATCTCATCATAAAGTATAAACGTACCCCTGATGGTGCCATCTTTTCTTCCTGATCGATCCAAGCCTTGGCGCTACCATGTGTAATGCAGTAAGTGAAGTAACGTCTCGCAGCACGCATATTATATCGCTTATAAAGAAGATGAGAAATATGGTTGCGATGCACTTGTGTCGCGTCTTTTCCTGAACTGGTTAGTTCTGACAGGAATCGTTTGGACAATTTCCCTTGTTTCCCGTTGTTAGGAAAGAGCCTTATGGACCATGTACCAGGAAGAACTAGGGGGGCATTGCAGAGCCGGTTGCTCTGCAAGGCTGGCCTAATGAGAGGGCGCAAGCTGGTTTTATCCTCTTAAGAGGTTTTCCCAGGTATAGTTGCCTCAGCAAAGAGATCTAATCAATGTAGAGAAACAAAAACGAAATACAAGATTACCAGTTTGTGGCTCAGCAGAAGTTCATAAATCAAAGCGTGTAACGCATGGCCTCTTCCTTATCCTCAACCTGCCCATTTCCCAGGAAAAACCAAGGTTTCACATATAGGTAAAGTTATGTGAATAACTGTTTTATAGGGTTTCATTTAGGAATTGTGCATACTGCAACGACAATAAAATTTGCCAATTGAGGGGTACCGTATATTTGATAGAATGCCAAGGATGCGGACAAAAGTACGTTGGGGAAAAAAAGGCCTCTTTACAAGCGTTTGGATGAACACAGAAGGGCATTACAAAACCCAGCCTCGTATCCAAACAGCAGCTTCTCCAAGCACCGCACCACAAAGCACACATTTGGGGAACCGCCTTCGTTGACCATTGAGCCATAGGAAACCCGGTGGAAAGGAGGCTACTGGAGGCATTAGAAATAAGAAAACTATCACCCGAAATAAATAGTAAGGACGAACTACGTGACGCTCTACAACTATTAAATTAACTACGTGCCCAATGGCATATGGTTTTTCAATATCACATGCAATGACCGTCACAGTCCGTCCGCTACTATTTAAGCAGAGGGTGAGCGGTAGGTCACTTAATTCCACTCCAACGGCGCGGCTCCCGTAAGGGCAGCTAAATCCTTGGCTGAGGCATACACATGTAGGTACATATATGGGTTCGGGAAACAATCATATTGTTTTTACCAGTGATTAAATCAATGTATTTCAGGCCTGAAGAAGGTGTTAAACACCGAAATATAGCAGAAGATTTCAAAGGAGTTCTTTTGAAACTTTTTCGTGTTTTTTGGAATTTTGGAGTTTTTTGAATATTTTGCGAACTTTTGGGACTCTTTTGAAATAAATTTTGGTGCCTCTTTGTGTTGTATAACATATAGGTAAAGTTGTTGTTGATCCCTCATATTCAATCGGTGATGTACAGTCAGAGGTCGTGAATTGAAATTGGAGACCTGGTTTCCTCATCCGTAGCGATCCGAGCTTCGACGAACACTTTTCGAGGATAGCTCAAGCAACAGCTCTTATGCAATTTGTTGAAGAGTTTGAAATTTAAGGGCTTGTTACATCATCAAGAGGGTATAACAATATGTCGACCTAATGGATATGGCCGTGTACATTCAATCGACCAAAAGTATCGCGTTTCAATTATTGACGATCCCTTCTGGAGTAACTCGGAATGCTACTCTTAATTTTAAACCTTATCGCTAAGAAGGAGGGAACTTTATTTGGTAACGCTCTTAAGATTTTTTATGGTCATTCGGTTTAAGCCCAATAACTTGGCTGCATAGATTAGGTATTGGACAAACTAAAATCATTCGAGAAAATCTTAGGAATGTATCTTACATCCCAGTGATATTTGTTATGCTCTTTGTTTTTTTCTTATTGTTTCTTTGTTATGTGGAAAGGTTCTGGAGGTGTGATTATAGATGTTCTAGGAACTTGTTTATTTGGTTTTGTACTAGTAGGGTTTTTGGTTCGTTGTTTTAGCACGGCTTCAAGTGTGCAAATAACATTACAATTACAATTTTCATTAAAAGGAAGGCAACTGAAGTTTAGGTCAGGGTTCGAAACAGGCGGGTAATTAGTACTTAAGGTCAGATACGTAATCGGAGCAATTCGTTAGGTTGCGGTTGAGTCGCGTTAGCGATTAGCTATTGGCTGCTACCGCAACGGACCGCGGACGCTAGCGAATCGCTCGATTTGTGAAATCTGACATCGGCCTGATGTGCTCTCTTCGTAGCCTACCTGAAAACATTTAGGAATGACTAACTGAATTTTTGCGAGAGATCCAGTAAAGCGGACATTTACCTTTAAAGGAGGATTGCACGGAAAGAACGAAGGTCGAAGAAGGGAGAAATCGCCTAGTGGGGAGAGCGGTGAATCTCTTGAGGGTGCGGACAGACACGCAATCGGCATCGAAAGATTTGACCTCTGAGATCTAGCATGGCTCAAAGTTGGCGAGTTCGGCGATCTCCGCCCACCGATCGTCTGATCACTCGCCGTAGTTCAATAGGTGGCGAGTGATTAGATAGCTGAGAGAGCGTAGTGTTGAAGAGGGCACAGCGATGAGAGTCGCATCAATGCTCGAATCAACGGGCAAGGAAGGGGTACCATTTCTCGGGTTCTGGGCCGTTTCTCATGGTTCTTCCTTCTTTCGTGTACCACTCACCATCCCTAGGTTAATTTGAAATGGGTTGCTTTTTCATCGTGAATTCGTCCTTTAATGCATACCTAATTCAACTCTGTTTTCAAATCCCGTACTTTTTGACATAATCCGTAGGAGATAAAAAGGGCAATTTATCGCTACCTAGGTAACCCGTTCAGTGGTTTTGGTAGTGAGTTCTGATCGAGTAGCTACAATGCTATAATGAAACAAAATTTGCCTAATTAATCACCTTTCAAGGAAGAACTTGTCGTCTTTGTGGTGTTCCTTTACATTCTCGAAAAAGCGTTCCTCATATACGGGTTTCAGAACTTTTCGCAAATAACGCTACAATTAACACCGTTACATGAGCGAATCAAGTGATTGTACAAATTGCTCGACTCATTTACCTTGTACACCACCGCATCGTCGTCCTCAAGGAAGTAGAGTCCTACTTGATGAAATCCTTTGAGTGCTGCATTCCAAGGAATATAATCCTGAATGTCGTATTTCGTCACTCAAAGGCACATTTCGCGATCAAAAAGTTAAGGGTATTGTGCTCGAAAATGTACAGAGTCGGGTAACTGGTCCAATAATGAGAAAAAAAGCTGCTAGCAATTTTGAAACTTCTATTAAAGCTCCCGTAAGGGCGACGCATCCCACATACGATCAGCATTCGATGTGATTCCAAAGCAGGATTTCACGATAAGGTCTGAGCTCGAAGAAGGAGGAGTCTACCCGGTATAAAGGCAGGTAGGCTCCGTAGGATGCGGAACGATGCAGGTTCGCAGCGAAGAGTGTAACTGCAGTGCCTATAGGGCCATACCTGCGCCACTGCCCGCACACCCTCTCATCGTCCGATTCTAGCCGCTCTAGTAGAGAGAGTATTAGCATTGATAAAGTTAGGAGAGATGAGACACGCCTGATGCGCAAACCAGTGAGCGCAAAGAGACCAAACTTATCGAGTTCTAGGCCATTTTTCCTCACTTCTTCTCCATCCTTCACTACCTTTACCTTGATTTCTAGTGAGCTGCCCTTCTATCAAAAGTTCGCCTTTAACAATTCTTAGCAATTTTCTACCCATTTTGCGCCACTTTGGCCCAATAACCCACACCTATTCAATCACAAAATGTGCCTTTAAGATTGCGCGCAAAATGGTGGTGATAACTAGGCGATCGCTACGTTGTTTGTGGAAAAAGAGAGTTATGCCGTCTGTGGAAGCTTGAGAGCAAAGACATTTCCCAGAACGCAATCCTAAAGCGTGTTTGTGGCTGTATAAAGGCAACATCCTACTTGAGTTAGTGTGATGGCTTTCTTTAGTGTGTAAAAAGGTTAAATAGAAGCAATTACGCGAGGAAAAATGCGACATTAGTGCACTCTGAGTTGAAATACCTCCTAAGACACCTTTCCAGCAAATTTGGCGCTCCATGATGCTTTGGCGCCGATGCCTTCAGCGTGAGCGTCAGGCATTTTCTCGTCAAACGGATGTCATGTAGGTGCTCTACGGGTCCAACTACCCCGGTTGATAAATTCGTTGTCAAGTTTATAACGAAGACGAATTGCAAGAAAAAGCTAGCCCAACCTCAGAAAGTGGTGAATACTACCAACATTTAGGGGCAATGTGGCTCGAGGGGGCCAGTCGCCGCGCGCGATCTCTGGTCGTCCGCGCCCTGTAGTGCTAAGCTTAGATAAGCGTCGGGGCAAGTATTAGTGAAGAATGAAAATTGCTATGATCCAGAAGTTCGCTCCTCCCCTGTCAGGTTTAGTCCATTTATGCGAAAATAAATGACAGAAAACCTACACAGAAAAACGCAGAGATCGCGTGCGGCGACTGACCCCCCTCGAGCCACATTGCACCCATTTTAATTATGCAGTTTCAAATTGGCGCACCTTCTCTCGGTCCAAGTACTGAAGGAGATCAAACACTGTAGTGTAGTTGACACGATTGATGGCGGCAGCAGCAAAAGCATCACTTATGATTGCGTTTCTTGTACGGGAACTGTATATCTAGAATATCGATTGTATTGAACAACACACCTAGCAATATTTACATTCAAGCGGATCACCTTGTGATCCTCCTTGAACTGCTTGACGATTTTTGCCCAGCCGGCATTCGTCATAATTTTTCTGTTCTTAGAATACCATGCTTTCTGTCATTTCACCCAATCGGTTGTCGTTTGCTGTATCGCGCAGAAATATTTAAGCAGGCGTTATCTGAAACACGAAATCATTTTTACATTATTCCTTCTCACATACATTTTCAAGTTACTGTCCCACTGGTTTCTAATTGTTGATGTGTTTCATGGCACGACAATTGCTATATGGGGAAATATGCACGGCGGCGACATATTGCCGCATCGACGCAGCACTGAATCTAGGGTTAGCTCTTTTTTGAAAGTTTATGACCCCTTCAGAGAATCGACCTAGCGTCACCATAGCTTAGGGGGTCACTGATATGGTCCCCTCCACCGGCCTCATCCTCGTTCATGGGCTTTTTTTAAATAGCATTTAATTCTAGGACCAGTCCACCAATCCTGGGAGGTGAATGGGGGGGACGGGGAGGAAGTGAATTGATCCATTTACTTAATGATATCCTGTAATTTACCCACTTCATGGTTGGTTTTTGAAATTTATCCGAGATCAGCTACCTCGAATATGATCATACTGTCCGACCCTTGACGTTCGCAAAAGCCAAGTTCAGGGGACTTTTGGAGGGGGAGGTGGTCGTAGAAGTCGAGGGTGTTGTGCTGGAGAGGAAGTCGTTTCTGGCGGGTATCGGGGACAAAATTGGAACTGGACAAAATTCCACGAAGAAGCATGAAATGGTCGTATCGTTATATTCTGAGGGTGGTGAGGGCAGTGGACAAGGGGCTGCTCCCAGTGATGGAAGAAAATTCATGTAATATTTTACAGCAAAATTCCCATAGGCATCTGTGCGACGAAAACCCTTTTCATGTGCGCGACTCGCAACGATCTCTTTTTGCGAGCCGTAGGCCGAAATTTCCTCGACACTTGGCTCATACTGATCCTCATCTATACCTATTCCAAAAGTAGGAAGTCCATTATGGATCAATGCTTTTCTGAGAGCAGAAAAAGATGAAACAATTGCCTCATGGATTGTTTCGACAGCTGAAATTGAAGTATCCCCAATTTAATGCAATCGCCCTTAGCAGAAGCTCTCGTGAGCCTTGGGAATGGTTCACGGCAATGATTTGGGGCCGCTATCCGACCTCAGGAGTTACCTCAAAAATAAACATAACATGTATCTTCATCAAAGTGCACCTCAGGAAAAGTGGTGTGATTCTTGCACCCGAAATTGAACAAAGGTAGACCGGTAGCGAAGAAATTATGAAAAGAGGCCAGGGAAGACGCTAAAATTGAAGGCTTGCTCACTCCGTAATTCGGCTGTGCTGAGCACTCACTGAGCGCACGGGGAAGAGAGGATAGGTGAGAGAGCTCAGAAAGTACGACGGCTCGAACGGGGAGACGTGCGTTTCTCCTCCTGGGGTCAGGTCACCACAGTTGCGCGATCATTGAAGCTTAAGGTTAAGTTTGGGTTTAGACTTAGGTTAAGGCTTATGCTTACACATTGGCTTATGCCTAAGCCTATGATTGGGCCTAGGCTTAGTCCTAAGCTTGCTCCGAGCGAATGAACGGCGTCTCAATTTTAGGTGACCTGACCCCAGGAGGAGAAACGCTACGCACCCCTCCGCATTTTGTGAATGAGGAAAAATGGCAGCGGTCGAAGCAGTTTTTGGAAAAGCCCTAGCGCCTCTGTCGTCCCATTCCGAGCCGGTGGATAGACCTATCTGCGTTTTCATGGTAGCATGGTTCTGCCCACCAAAGAGGATTGGCCCTCCTCGAGGGGCAAACGACGCGGTACGCCCCACTCTCGTGTGTTCTCGTTCTGTGCCTCCGCCGTTTAATAGAGACAGCGCTAGCTTTGAAGAGGGTGGCACCAATGAGAGTCGCATCAATGCGGACAAGGAAAGGTCCCATTTCTCGGGTTCTAGGGCCGTTTTCTTGGTTCTTTCTTCTTTCGTGTATCACTGACCATCTCTGACTTAATTCCCGAATGAGCTGCCTTCCCATCGTAAAATCTCCTTTAAGTTTGACGACGACTTGTAGACTTGTTCATATTAAGATCGGCACTTCATGCCATCTAATGAAATGGTAAACTGCTCTGGCAAAAGCAGTTTACAGTAACCACTATGTTGCATTGAGACCAATTTGCTTCATGTCTTCTTTTTTATCAGCATCTCTTCATCACAGAGTATTTCTTGTAAAAATTTATAAAAATTACTTGTGGTCAGCCAAGTGAACTTGACTGGATCTTTGTTCATTTGATACCATATTGGAATGTACCATTTGAACCTAAACACCTGAGAGTATAGTACTGGAAGTGTGGAAATAAATACGGCGAAACCACTCACCCATGTTTAGGATGTCGATATTTCATAACCTCCTTCGCATTTGGATCTCTCTTATATCGAGATTGAGTAACTTCGAATGTAGAGGAATTCTTAACTTTCACGGTCACGAGTGGGAATCCCATCTGAAATACTCGAAATACAGTTAAAATTTTTTTATGAATCTGTAAGGCTAGCTGAGGGATTGCCCTGGTGGTGAGCGAGACGCTTTATGGACGGAGGTGTCACAGGAATCATGCAAAAATTACTCTAACGATAAGAACGCGTTCAAAGAGAACTTTTATCGCAAATACACATACCACAGCATAACTCATGACTCTAGAGAAACATGGCCCTGCCCATACATAGGTACAACCCATCCTGTGTCCCCGAACGACTTGGAGAAGGGCTAGGCGTGGAAAAGGGGAGGGGTCCGTCCTAGAGATTACCACGGAAACCGAGGTTCTACCCCACAGAGCAAGTTTCACACTAACGCTTGCGTTTTTCCAGCCGATCAGCTATCGCAGTAGGCCCAGCCAGCAGCGTGGCCGGGAACTCAACCTGCCACTGTTTGACAAGGAGGAGAACCTAGCGACCTAGTTATTGTGCGTGTCTTCTAGGCCATCACCATGTTGGTTTCTGCCATTGTCTAATTACGGGACAGGATTTCCCATTCCATGGGAAGGATGACGAGAAATGGCCCTCTCAAAATCCTACCGTTGAAGCACTCAAGACGGGCGGGTGATCTATCCCACCCCCAGGCCCCAATCCGTTCGGAACGTTCGGGGCTCGAAATTTAATTTCACCTCCGTAAACTGCTTAGGTAGTCGGGGTTATTTCGAGTCCTGAGAATGTACGAAATAAATTGCTATTGGTTTAAAAGAGGCATAAGCGGCGTAAGCGTCATCTGACGCCAAGGGGGCACTACAACGGCGCCGTTTTGGTGTCACAACTTTCTCCACCAGTTTTTTAGTTCGGAGTCTAAGTAAAACGGTTTGGTGGTAGTCCTAACTATAAAAATGACATAAGTTCTTCACGCTGACGCTCTTTTTTTGCAAAATTTGAAACGCCAACAAAAATGCAAAAAATTGTCACTGCGAGGATTCGAACCACGGACCACTTTCATAACCCCTTTTTGGTATTCAGAAGGGCCGTTCAGGAAAAATGAACATGTTTTGTGTTCCATGCATGTGCCCCTATATCATGCAAAAAACCGTTTTGAAAAAGCGCACCACGTCCTGAAAGACCTTCCTTGTAAGGAAGCTGCATGATCGCTTTTGCAGAAAAGCGCGTTCTATAGAGGCCAAGGCCTTACCAGTGGTGACGGTGGCCTTCATGAAAGCTTCCGCCTCCAGATGATCAAATGATGACGGAGCTTTCACGAAGGCCGACCTATAAATGGGTGGCAATAAGGGGCTACCACCCGCGGCAAGAGAAAGTAGAAAGATAGAGTAAGACTTCCATAACATCAGACGGGTTCCTGATGTCCCTTCACGTTCAGCGGAAGCAATATTTCAGAGTATTCCATCTACAAGTGTCTCGAGCAGGAAATCAGCATGACCAGCTTTTTCTAGCTCAAGGATTTTGGGGGAAGCGAGAGGCATGGCATACAAGTACGTACACAGTGGAGTACTGAGAAGACAAAAAACACCCGGCTCCGTGATTCTCTCTTTCTGCAATCGTTCCTACCCCCAAGGCGCTGGAGGTGTGCTTCAGACCACCTCTCTATGCTCTTTCACCAATAACTCTCAATGACGTCACCAAAACCGCTCGCCACTGCGCTCACTGCCTTTCACGTACTCCTAGGCTTAGGGTTGGCAGGATGAGCGTGCATGCTGCGGCAAATAAAACCAAGGAATCGGAGTAACACCAACAGGATATGAGACTGTTCAACCTGAAGGGATACTTACTGCATCCCGTAAACCAGGAACAAAGATAAGAATGCGTAAGGTCAGCACTTTATTACAATGGAATCCAACTCCTCATTGCTGATCTCACCTGCTTTATCCAGTGATCGGCAAACTTCTGTAAATTCAAGTGTCCTCCTTTGGGCCCCTTTGCATGCGAATCAACTGTATTCAAAATGTCCCAAAAATCTTCTGACCGAGCATTACTATAGGAAAATTTCTTGAGATAACTCTAAAAGTTGCATTATAAAAGGCACTGTAGATTCAGAGCTATTTAACCTTCTTTTTTTGTCGGTATTTATGCCCCTTATTCCCATCAAGAAAGATATTGGTGGAGTTTCCGCACTGAAGTGGACGTGATAAATGCTTGATAAATGTGGCCCTTGCTCTCCTTCGCCTTCTCTCTAGCCAGAGAGTGCAGTTTCTACGGAACTCGAAACTTCTACAAGTTCCCAAATCAGATACAACAAATGCCTTATTGGTAGGGTTCTATGGTTTCTTTTGCTTTGACTATTCACATTCTATAAATGTGCAACTTTCGAGGAAAGTTGCCCATTTATAGAATGTGGAAGGCCGTCCGAAGGCCCTCTGCTCGATCGATACCGCAGCCGACTGCATTGATTGGGGGCGGGGCCAATCGCCCGTCGCATGTGCACTTTGCAAGCGATTGCGCAGTTGCGTGCCAATCGTGGAATGTGGCCGAAGTGGAAGAAATTCTTATAAGGGATTAACTTGGGGAGGGGGTTCTCCTACTTTCTTTTCTTTTTCAGACCACTCACCCTCCACCACCACCAGCTTCGTTACTGACGCTCTTCCGCACTCATTTTACCCCCAGTTTTGCCTTTAATACTCTGACGATTGCAATCGCTTTTCGCACTAGGTGGCTGTGAACCATTTGTGTGTATAAACTCATGAACAGTACTGATAGGGAGGGTTTCATTGATAGCCCAATCCTGACCATTCCTTTACAAACGGTTACGATGAAAATGCAGCCCGTTGGAAATTAAGTTAGAGATGGTCAAAGATGCACGAAAGAAGAAGCGAGAGAAATGGCCTGAGAACCGAGAAATGAGACCCCTCCTCTTTCCGCAATGATGCGATTCTGCGCTCTTCAACGCTAACGCTCTCTTCTGAACGGTTAGCAGCTCAGACCAGGGTGAATATCGGTCGAGGAAATCCTCGACAGGGGGGTCGTACCTGTTGGGCTGGTCCATGGGGGGTCGTACTCTTGGGGGGTCAGTAACAGCAAGTGGTATCATGGTGCAGATAGGTAATAGGGTATAGCGCAGCAGAAAATGAAAACATCCGAAAAAAACATGATATTAAATTTTCTTTGCAGGTTATACGACCGTACAAAGTACGCTTGATTCTCCAACCATTCACCATGAGAAGGGCGTATTTGAAGGCAGTACAAAGAATGAAAGTGCATCCCCGCAAAGAAGACTGCCACATGTGCGCACGCGCTGCAAAGGCACCTCCTCTGCCTATCGCTCGCTCCTTCTCCCTTAATACCTCGCTGAGAATGACACTGTTGTTAGGGACCCTGTCGCAAAAACGACAACCGTGAAGAAAAAGCGCTGGGCAAATGAAGTTGTTTTTTGGGTTACAGGAATAGCACAACACACTATGTCTACTACAATACAGTTTCGTTCGAAGGTCCCCATCATATACCCCACCATATAACACCTTGCAATCGATTCTGCAATTGTGAGCGGAGGACGGATGCATGGCTTATACCATTGCCCCTATTCTTATTGCTTGCGTTGAAAGATTTCGTTCTAGAGACATTCCGAGTGTTGCCAACCAACGAATCACACTTGCAATGGTGAAGGAGGGAGCGGATTTTCGGGTGGCCGGATCCGTCCTCGATTACATACTCGACGCAGATATCTTCTCAACTAGGAAATGTAGAAGAAAGCTAAGAAGACCATCAGAAAGCGCAAACCTTCCGCTTTCCAAAACTATCTTCCCTTTTTCAGGATCTTACAATATAAGAGATATATTGCTCTTGAAGTGGCAAAAACTCGCGTGAAAATTTCCGCCTCCTCGACATTTACTCGACGAAATTTGAGAGACCCTATCTTTCTGCATGGAAGGCTTTCAGAGCAATTTCAATACTTCTTGGAAACGCGAAATCCAGCTCTATCTAACCCTACCTCAAGCTGCTTCAAAGGTTGTGAAATGGAGGAATGCAACCTTTTCATCGAGGGTGTAGATTTCGACGGTTTTTTTCGGGATTTCAGCAAATCTGACCCAGTGACAATCGCGCCGCAGCTGCCGTTGAATCGGCCGTTGATTGATACACTCGGCTGTTTCGATATACTCAAGCAGAATCAAGATTAAATCGCAACCCCGTGCCTTCAGGATTTCTGTGCATTTCTGAACGAACCTGACTTTGAGGTCACACAAAGTTAATGCCTCTTTCCTCGAGTCGATATTTCAGTAAATACACAAAAGTGTGCAGCGATGAAAGACAGTGCATAGATGACAAGATGAGGCGTCCATAACATTATTTTGCAGGATTTTTTTGATTTATTTTGCAGGATTTATTTTGATTAATTAATTGAATTAATTTGCTCTGTTTTAGGGGGTCGTGCCAGGATCTCATTTTCGGGGGGGGGGGGGTCGTACTTCTGCGACCACGTACTCGACACGATTTTCACCCTGGCTCAGACGCGAGAAGACGCGAGGTGGGCGAATAGTACGCCAATTGCGCTGAGGGGAGGGGACGATAGATGAAGCTGCTAGAAGCGAGAATTGCGGGCGAAGAAAGCTTCTGATGTCTTTGCAGCGCACATTTGGCGCGGAACCAAATGCGTCCTCGCCATTGTGAACAGGCACCTCACTCCTAATGGTTGTTTTTTCTATGTGATCCACCTAAATTCATCCTTAGGTGTGCTTTTGATTGTAATTATTATTAGGAACAAAAATAGCCTGAAAAGCAACCTATCCACCCAACTGCAATACTCACCCTTACTCCTTCGTTGAAATTCTCCTTACCCATCAAGGCAGTAACCATAGCAAGTAAAGACGCTCCTTTAGCATAGGATATAGGACTGAAAGCTTCAGATACTTCAACTGGTTTGTCCACCTTGAACGACAACGGATGACTCGTGGCAACGGAATCCGCCTGTAGAGCTCTTTCAAGCTTTGAAACCAGGAAGTAGTCTTTCTGAAAGGAAAAAAAAAACTTTTTTGGCAATTATTATCTTCAGAAAATTTCCAAAAATACCAGATTCATTACGCCGTTTGTAATGTTGTCTAACGCAATAAAATTCCATGTATGTTGCAAAGCCTTCGTTCAACCACAGATCATTCCACCAACTTCAATTGTAACAATAGATTTCCGAACCACATAAAAATAAAGATAGGCAAGTAGCGCTCGTCATTCAATATTATTAGGTTTCACTGTCGAGCCAACGTAGGTGCAGACGAGCATAAACAATCGTTCCATAAAATGTTCTCACGAAGCCCGCTATTCAGCCCACTTTAAGGCCTCTAACCGCGCAGTTATCTGCGCACTTTATATTTCCGAGCCGCGCACTCTAAATCAAACACATTCTGTGGGATTCAATAGAGGAGTGAATCCACCTATCCCCACCCACTATACACAGACTTCGAGCACAAATCATATACTGGAGGTGCCGCTTGCTTTTGAACACACTCATCTATCCCACGTGAATTCTCTTCTGGATCGCGAGAGAGTGCATACCTCTGAAGGGCTCTACAACCTATTGAGCTCTGCGTCTAATCGCAAATGCTCGATCACCAAGAGGACGGTAACTGACTTCTTTCCCATGAGCAGTGATTAACAAGTCGACAAAGCACCAGAGAAACACGGAGTGGGATGCGTGATCTATATCTGTTCTTAAGGTCGGAAAGTGGTATTTTGTGGAGTGGCTCGAAGCCGTAACAGTGTTTTGATCAGAGCGCTGTCAAGAGAAGAAACCAGGTCCTGGGCCCGCGCAAGGCTGGGTGCAAGTTCTCTCGAGGGAAGGCTCTGCGACCGGGATGCAGCACCGTTCGTGCCCCGTAGCCACAAAATCGACTTGGCGCTGCGTCGCCTGTGAACCTTGGGCCCCCAACTTAGAGTTCTCGATCGCGCGCTAGACCGTTTTATAAAACCAAAAGAGCGAGATCTTTCATATTCGAAAAATTCAACGCTTGCTAAATCGCGCGCCCAAAATGCACTTTACAGTGATGAAATTTGCCCCCAAGATGCATTGATGCATTCTCTTTTTTTTTTTCACCCCACACAGACAACTGGGAATTCGGATGTCAGAGTAAGCCTTGAAAATGGAATTCGAATTCCTTTATACTGTGCATCTAGTCACTTTAATATGATGATCACGAGGGTGGAGAGCGATGGTGTCATGATGACGTCACTGAACGTAATTGGTGGACTAGATCTCGCAACCACACACACAGGAGTGAGGTTGTGGTTTAAGGATCAAATCCTAGGTCGGACAATGTCCACACCAAGTGGGCCTTTCATACCCACATGGTCTGGATTGATTGGTACCAGGAGTCCTCCTTAAGGGGACTAGACGTGGCCCATCCAAAAAAAAAAGTTGGCCAACTTCAAATGCTTCATCACTCCATCCTTTATGAGCAGCGCTACCCTAAAGCCATAAGTCCCATAGGTCCACTGCTATCACTGTCTTCGAGCATCTCTATTAATATTACAGTATTCCCCATTGATCCACAACGAAAGTGGCAACGGAGCCAAGATCTTAATTAACAAAAAAAAATTCCGGCCCATACCAACCGCCCCAGCAACCGTTATCAACTATGAATTCGAAAAGCAGCAGCCAGTGACGAAAGTAGCTTACCTGGTGTGCCAGCTCGTGTGCTATGGCTGTTAAAACTGAGAGTTTACCCGCAAAGGAATATATTGCTTCATTGTACAATAATGCAGCCTCTCTGAATAAGGTATTCGCGACTAACTCGGCAAAGAAAGCGTAAAAATAGAGCGCACCTGTAGGTTATAAGCCCCCAGTTTTCCATCGCACCAGCCTCGAAATCAGATACAGCCACCATATCTTAATAATAGGTAAGAGGTCACTAGTTGGTAAGTCACAATAATATACAGGGGGGGCCAATAAAAAAAAGACATTTTGTCTCCACTTCCAGATGGATTTAAGAACATTTTGCTCAATTCAGACCGAATGGTCTCAACTTATTATTAAAGAGCGCATTCCATTCTACAAGAAAATCTTTATGGTGGCCACCTACGTGGACGGCATCAGAAGAATTTGCCCTGGAAACATCGTGCACTGGTCGAGCTCAATGGAGTCTTTCGAAAAATCGTTAAATCGATTCACGAAATTGCGTAAGAGCTTCAGGCTGAAGCTCTTACGGTAGACCTCCTTGAGCCTGACGACGGTGACAGATGACGTCATATTCTGAAGACGGTGAGGGCAGTGAAGGAGGGCCTGCGTTCACTTATAGAGGGACACTTAGGGAATACTCTGCTGAGGAACTCCCGTCAACGACAGCAATCTCTGCGAAGAAAAAAGAGCCGAAGTCCGACATAGGCAAAATGTCTTTTTTTTTTGGCCCCCCCTGTATGTAATGTAAGTCCTGCTGACGAGCACCCAACCTATGGAAGTCAAAGGAATTCTTGACCAAGTTTTTAATCCAGATCGTCAGAGAGGAAGGTGCCCGAGAATTGGCTACAGAGCACGACGAATCCGATATGGAACAAGAAACGCAGCCCCAATGACTGCACGAGCTACCGTCCAGTCAGCTTTTCATAAGCCAGTGTGGTTTTGTGGCAGGCTGCAGCACCATGGACACATGCCAATCGTCTTATGCTGGAAAGACACCGTGAGAAAAGAAAAGCTGTGCATCTTGCCTTCCTGGACTTCGGTTGCATTTCTCGAGAAGTTATAGCTTCACGGGCGAGCAGGGTCAACCCTATCGTTGTTACTTTTGAAAATTTTTTACGACCCCCTCCCCCAAGGTGGATTTGGTACGACCCCCTTTTCCACACCTCGACCACCATCATCGTCTCTATAGTATTTAATTCTGATACCACTCAACTCACCAAACTCCGCCCACTTACGCGCGCTGAAACGGCAAATTTTTCTCCTGCGCCCCTCAACTCACCCAGCCTACCTACCCATAAAAACTTCAGTTTCACCTCAAACTCACATGTGATTTCAAGCGACTGAAACGGGTACGACCCCCTCCCCTCCTACAAACTCAACCACGGGTACGACCCCCTCCTACAAACTCAACCACGGGTACTACCCCTGTTACGGTTGGTTCAGTGGTAGAGATTTATTGACTCTTCTAAACTATGATACATTACGTGGTTTATATACGGTTACAGTCTTACCAGATGTCACAGTACTAACAGATGTCTACGCAAAAAGCAACACCAAATGCTAGTGTAAGAAAAGGTGACTAATTCTACAGATTCTGGGCTACACGAGAAGTTAACTACTGAATGTTATATAAGAGGGTCGTGGCTAACCACGACAACCCCCTCCTACAAACTCAATCACGGGTACGACCCCCTCCTACAAACTCAACCAAGTACGACCCCCCGTTGTTACTAGTAACAATGTAGGGTTGACCCTGCCGGCGAGTTCCTTAACAGCTCATTGAGTGGGTGCGCCTACTTCACTCAAACCAACAAGTCGAGGGCAATGGTAGCAAGTACTGATGGAATTTCCCATCTCTGTCGGGGTACACCAAGGCTCTGCGCTTCCCCACTCCTATTTGTTGTCGTCATGGATGCCATTTCACGAGATCTTCAGAAGCCGGCTCCATGGACGCTTCTTTATGCTGATGACGTGATGCTCGCCTGCGAAGACAAAAACGTACTCGAGCAACAAGTGCAAGCTTGGTCCGATCGCCTGGCTATGTTCGGACTCAGGCTTGAACGTCAAGAAAGACCGAGTACTTGACCACCGAATCGAATGAGCTTGGTCGTATCAAGATCAAATGTGCTGTTCCACGCATAACGATTTTTAAGGACCTCAGATCGGCAAACTCGTCTGACGGCAGCCTGACGTCTGGAGTAAATTCTGCGTGAGTGCAGCTTGGTCCAAATGGCGCTCGATGACTGGCGTTCTCTGCGATAAGAAATACCAGAGCGTCTCAAATCTAAGATCTACAGAACCGTCGTCCGACCAGTCGCCATTTACGGAGCAGAGTGCTGGCCCGTGACTAAAGAGGTTGAGGCTCGTCTCAGTGTAATGGAGACAAAATGCTGCGCTGGACTGCCGGGGTCACGCGTTTAGACCACATTCGCAACGATGCCATCAGAAAGCGGTTCGGTGTGGCTCCCATCGCTGATAAGATGCGCGAAGCTCGCCTTAGGTGGCACGGTCATGTCCTCCTTCTGTCCTAGTGAACCACAACCCCGCAGCTTCCGACAGCCTATTTTACACGGGTTGCGACCGCATGCATGTAAGTGAGTGTGTGCATGGCCTTCCACAAAATGATGAAGTACCTCACCTTGTTTCTCTAGCGGATATTTGATGCCAAAGTGGCTTTCATAAAAGTCCAAACATTTCATTCCGATGTCTAATGCGTACGATGTCCTATGAATTGCTCCTGGACGTGACCATATTCGGAACTGAAAACAAATCGTGTTATTCAAACTCAGGGCGAAATGCTGATAATAAGAAAACGCACCCTCACTCCCGTGTTGGTATGGCCTTCGACAGACTTAAATTCGCCGACAACAACGGCAAGAAGGTAAGACGACATTTTCGGCGTTGTTGCAAATTTACTCACCATCCAGGGGCCGTTTGAATCTCTGAACGGTTTACCTGGCATCAAACAAATAGGAATAAAGGTGCCTTTTTCTAGTTGTGTAGTGTTGTTTGCTACTGCGGTGGGTGTATGTCAAGAGAATCGTCCGAATCCCTGGTTGTGGCCGCGATCTCGCAACTAAAGTGGACGAGTTTTCGTGAGCGGTAGACCCACCCCAATCCTTCAATCTCAACCAACTGCTCTAATCGTCAAATTCGAAAATCTCGCGCACCTCCGAGAATTGCTGCGTTGCGATTTCGTGCAAGTGGCCGCACGCGGCGGTACGATTCTGTTGACCGCTCCCCTACTGCGGTGAGTAGTGCAAAGTCGCCGCTTGTCATACGCAATCTAGCGCGACTAAAATAAGCGGCTATTGCGTGATAGCGATAGGTGCGGGATTCCATAGAAAGCAAAGAGCGGCGAACTAACGTGCGTGAGATGGTAGCTTCGCTACAGTACTCTTAGTACATG